GAGATGGTTCTGCCGCCCCTGCTCCTGAAACCGAACCCGAGTCCTCCGGGTTTCCTGGTGCGACTGCCGCGTCCTCCCCCCCGCGTGGTTTGCCCGTCGCTGCTGGTGGTGCTACACAGTGCGCAGTGCCGGGGGCGCCGCCGTTGCCGTTGTCGTTGCTGCATGGGTCGCCGGTGATGGGAGGAGGTCTCGTGGCGCGGAGGCGGGTGAAGATGCGGTTGATCGCCACGACGGCGGCCTCCTTTGTGAGCGAGGACAGGTCGGCGCCGACGAAGCCGGGGGTCTTCTTGGCGATCTGCTGGAAGTCAACATCCCCTGCTAGGGTCATCTTCGACGCCATGACCTGTTGTTGTCAGCGCAGGGAAACCGTCGAGGGAACAAAAGGAGTCGCAAGAAGGCAGCCCGATTCCCGAGTATGTAGGTGTCGACAGTGGAACTTGACGAGGAATGAAGAGCAAATTAACCAGAAAAAAACCGCGGACAGTTGCTGAAAGTGGCTGGTGTGTGAAAAACACCACCGCCTACGAAGAAAACCTGAAAAAGGAAACATATGGTATCTACGCGGGTTGTCGCACCCCCTCCAGACAGACCTTCAAAGTCTCGATCACTCCACGACCCAGAGAGCATCACAGCCGAAAAGGAAGGGTTTTGGTTCACGTGCTGTATCGGCCGGATTTCGCACCCCCTTGTGTGCGGAAAATCTTTCTCATTAGCGTCGGTCTAAGGGGGGTTCGATCACTCGCGCAGCGACGGTGCAGCCAAAGACAACGAGCTGCGCTTCTTACTGCTACTACTGCACTACTTACTTCCGCAACAACAGAATCATGTGGAACGTCGTTGCCTACATACCTCCAAGATGCGTCCACGCGCGGCGAGGTCCGGTACGCCCAGGCAGATCTCGCGGTCGAAGCGGCCGGCTCTCCTCAGCGCCGAGTCGAGGTCGTTAGGGCGGTTGGTCGCTCCGATCACCACCACGGGCTTTCCACCCGTGTTCTCGATCGTCAGCGAGTCCATGCACGTGAGCAGCTGCACGCGTACGGAGAAGGGTCGATCGGGTTGCCAAGAGAACGCATGGGATAGGAGACTGCTTTCAGATTCGAGTGAAAGAGCAAGGAGCATATATAACTCTTGTGATAAGGAGTCCAGCGTACAAATATAGGCAAAGCGTGAAAAAAATCGATAAGCAAGAGAGACAGCACAAGCACCCCCCGCCGGGTGTTCCCGCGTGTTCTGTACGTCGAGGGCTAGCTTCGCATGGGGCCGATGATCGCCGTCGAATCCTCAGAAAACAACGATCACGATAACCCACCGCACTCATACAGCAGAACAGTGCAACACATTTGCGCCAGGCCCAAAGCAAAGACGAACAGCGGACGGAGATAAACAGAGGAAGCCATCACCACTCACCTGTGCCACGATCCGCTTTTCCATACCCCTTGAAGATGTCTCCCTCTTAGGAGTGATGGCATCCACCTCGTCCATGAACACGATGCAGGGGGCGTTCTCGATCGCAGCTTGAAACAGCTCCCGAACCTGCGATAAATATTCGATCGAATGAAAACAAGTCGTGAGGTGCACCTTCCTGTTGTCGCTGGTTTACCACACAGGGAACGCGAAATACAGATGGCACGGCCTGCGCTCATCCCACCCGCGTGCCGCTGCTGCTCTTCCTGCTGCCCCTTCCCACGGATAGTACCGAAATAAATGGCGACAGCGGACCCCAACATGGTTTGCCACACTCTCAATTGATGAACCCACCATTCTTACCCCCCTCTCGCTATTACCTTTTGCTCGGACTCCCCTGACATGCCGCTGACGATCTCCGGTGCTGATATCCTGAGGAAAGCCACGTCCAGCTCCCCAGCTATCGCGTTCGCCAGTAGAGTCTTGCCACAGCCCGGTGGGCCATGCAAAAGGATTCCTCGGGGCTGCAGTACAGACACATCGATGCAGATAACGCAAGATTGGAAAACTACCAAGCGACAACGTGAATTCAAGCGTTTGGTCCATGCACCAAGAATGCAATGAGCAGAACGAAATCGACGTCACGCAGAAATTCGCAACACGGTGGCCGTGCTACTGCCTCGTTGGCTGCAGGCACAACAGCCTCCAGCAGTGGCGGTGTAGAGTTAGCCAAAGATAGAAAAGGACAAAGAACGCCCTACAGCGCGCTTGCCGCACTAAAAAACATGACCGTACGAGCCAGAGAGAAAAAACCCCGACACCAACACGCCATCATGTGCAGAATGATTTTTGCGTCATTTCTTCTCACCGGCTCGATCCCAAGATGTGCATACACTTCCGGGTGGACTAGAGGGTACTCGATTAGCTCCCGCACCTCCTGGAGAATTCCTGAGATCCCGCCTAGGTCATCGTACCTGAAGTGTCATGGCACCGGAGGGAGGCAAGGCATCGGGTGTAATACGCGTGACCAAACCGGTGTATCTGTGCCTTGCCACCTTGCATATTGCTTATGATTCGTTTTGTTTTCAAGTCTTAAAAGCTCGCAACAAGTGTTTTTTACCGTTGTGTGATTTTCTGCACCATCTGCCATGACTTTCGTCCTGCGGGCGTATGCATGGGACGGCAAGCTGTTTTGTATGCATGGGACAAGTTTTGTTACGGCTACCAAAAAATTGCCTCTGTGCTACACGAGTACCTCGCGGACGGGCGCTCCACTACCAACCCTGCTGCTGCCGTTACCCCACCACCACCTCCGCCCCCTCCTGTTGCCGCAGAAGGTGCCGCTCTTGACGACGCCGGCGGTCCCCCCGGTCGGGGTCGCTTGGAGGGTTTCTTCGCGCCCTTGATTGAGCCGCCGCCCTCTTGATCCTTCCCGTTGGCAGGAGAAGAATTGGACAACCCCTGCCTGCTCGAAGCGCCGTTGGTGCGGTACCCGGCTGCGACGGACTGGTTTAGGAGGTTGTGCTTGCGGCCCTGCATGCCTGCCTCGGCCTCTCTGGCAGCGAGCTCGTCCTCGCTCAGGTCCTCATCGAAACAGAACGATTTCACCAAAAAATACGTCATAAAAAAATTATTAAGTCCGCATCAAGCTCACTCACGCCACGCGCACTGCTTACTACAAGCTGGTTCCACTGGAGACACAAGAATCCAAACATCAGCGGCGACTGATTCGAGTACACAGGTAGGGTACTACTGCCTCCAAACCGCACGAAGGCCCCGAACCGGAGGATCACGGCATACCTCGTGGTCGCTCTTGGTGTTATGGTCGGCGGTGTCTCCGCCTCCCTCGCGAGCTCTCCGCTTCTTCCTCTGCCTGCCCGCAACGCTGCTACCGGTGGCCTCTTCGCGACGGGAGGAGAGCTGATGCTGGTGCCGGTGCTGATTCTGTTGGAGTCCGACTGCCTCTACCCCGTCGCCCTCCGACATCCTTGAGCGCTTCTTCGTGTCGCGGGGCGGCGTCGGGCTGCCCTCGAGGCACTTGCGCAAGGCCTTTCCAACCGATTTTCGTAGCGGACCCTGCGCGGAAAGCAACCGCGCATGCACCATCGTTTGGGGTCGTGGGATGGCGACGTGAGACAGGGCGAGGGTGCCATCCATAGGTCGAGACCAGTACCAGCTTCGGCTCCGAACGCAACGAGCAGCGCCATTCGAGGACTAGACGGCGTGACCCCCACCACCCCCCTACTTCTGTGAGCATTGTTTTACCAACGTTAGAGTGTCATGTGTGGTTAGAAGGCAAGCAGAGCGTTTGACATGACAGTGTGCGGGATCTTTGAGGCTTTTGTCGGTCAGCAAATCTTTAATCTGTGGCAAACATTATGCTGTATGCACTTATAAACATAGAACCCACACGTCAAACCTGAGCACGCAGATTTCATTCTCAGGGATAACAGGACATTGGGAGCTGGCGTCTCTCACAGTCGCTCGGCGGAGCAGCAGGTTCGAGAAGTCGGTAGGGGAAACAACAGTACAAGTCACCTACGGCTTGACTAGAGCCTAAGTCCTCGGTGCGCCTGAACTCGGCATCGTCGGACCTTTTCGGCATCGTGGGACCCAGACTGCACGCCCAGACCCCATGCGGATTAGTACTTACTTGGTTTGTTCCAGACATTTTCTTCACTTGCAGTCGCGGGCCCGGTCTAGCGACCTCCTGTTCAACGACATGCCCTGGATATGTAGCGACTACAAAACCGCGTGACACCACTGCACCCTGAAAGCAACCATTATCCCTGCCGACACAGCAGTAGATATTGCTGTATGGTAAGGGCTTGTAGGGGGCGCTAAACCGGGTCAACCGTCCACCACAACTGCCTGCAACCCAAGACATGAATCTCTCGGTTCGAACTGGATTAATTTGAATTTTGCAGCTACCAGCATTATTTCCCGACACTACACTTCGCTCTCCTATCCATAATTTAAATCAAAATTGGCAGAGATCTACCTGTTGTTGTGATTGGCTTAATTCGACATCCGCCGTATCTACCTGCGTTGCTTAGCGGGGGCAGCCTTGACTGACTGGTGGTAGGGCGGCGGAAATAAATAGTGAGTAAAGGGACATTTGAAGCATGCAACGCGTACAGACCTGTGGCTTGCGGACGTACTCCTTGAACTTATCCAACAGATAGTCCAGTGCAGCATCCTCTGTCGGCAGGCTTCCGCGCTCCTGTTGCTCAGTCACGAATCGCTTCAGGCGAAACAACAGCTTCGTATCCACGAAATAGTCGCTGTTGTTGGCCGTTCTTCCAGCGCCAGCACCACCACCAGGTGATGACACAGCGTTCCGCGACATAACTTCGCAAGTGTGAGAGGCAGCGCTCGTCCTCGTTGTAAGGGCAAGGACTGGCATAAGCGTAGCACCTCAGAGCTAGGGCTACTCCATGTGGTGCTGCGCTTGTGTGCTGTAGTCTGTGTTTTTCGTGTGAGCATCGGAGATTTGGAGTTTACACCCGCGCAGGCTTTGTCTCTCTTGATTCTTTTGAATTGTGTCCCCGGTACCTTCCCTCTTGTGGCGGCTCTCTTGCCGCTTTGTCTGAACCTGACAGTGGGGACAAGAACACCTCGCGTGGGCCTCTCTTGTCCAGAACGGTAAGCCCAGAATCAACACCCTTCCCACTGAGTTGGTTTGACGTCTTGATTTGTTGCAGTGCGTCTCCGGGCTCTCTGGCTCTCTCTGGCCCAAAATCTCTGTACAGATCTACGGAAATTTAGAGTGCGTGCTGTGGGATCGCGCGAAGACCACGGAGAGGCAAGAAGGATAGGAGAGAGACACCTCGTGTGATCCCTACACGCGCACCGCACCCAGAGACAAGAACGTGCTGAATGTGCTAGAGTGGAATAATCCTGCCGGATCGCGGTAGCCATGCAATGTTAATGTTCAACATTCTTGTTTTTTTCCTTCCATTCGCAACTCTCGTGATACTTATGTTGAGCTCCTCATGTTCCGCATGTACTCTCATGGCTAGGGCGCCCACACTGCAGGATGTGCCTTGCGTTCCCTTCCCCAACGAGAACGTTAGTGATGGCCACGGTGACTTGCCTTCACAGATATGCACCCCTTGAAGTGAACTACGGACTGCGTGTGGGGTTAGATTTCGCCAACGGCGGACATGCATCCAGGCTTCCTCTTGATCGCCCGCTTTCCTCGTGCGGACCGCGACACGCCTGTCCGTACATAGTCGCATCAGCCCACTTTCCCACATGAGCAAACTTTGCGCTCTCGGTGTACAATATTCCGTGCGGTCTTCGGTCTAGAGCACCGTCTACCGAGCACGCCGTGTGCTTGAGGATCTTGGTTGCGAATCGAAACCCTCCACAAACTCTTCAAATTGCGACCTGTATGTTACGATTGCGCACGACTTTATTCTCGGTCGCGGGGAACTCACCTTCATGGCCGGTTTACAAGTCGGGTTGGGATGGCGGTGATAACCTCGATAAATTCGTTGATGGATGCGGCCTCATGTACGCATGCGCATTTGGCATCGTGCATACCCACTCTGAAACCACATCTCCCATCGCTTGTAACTATGTAACTATGAGGTGAACCTCGCGATTTCTTCGCATACTGTACCGTTTGCGTTTTGCGCAGGTTACCGTTTGTTGCCTACTGCTCGTGTGTCAAGCCGGGAGCTCGGAGGACTTGTGCTGCTCAAGCAGTCAAGGGGGGCACTAAAGTGGGATCCGGGCTGTGAACGGGGCAGTTTGAGTCTTCTCCGCTGAGACGATACACGACCAGCAGCTACCACACAGAGCAGCACCAGCAGCAGCACAGCAGCATAAGAAAGAGGGAGCAAAATGGGCAAGAAGGGCAAGGGCACGAAGAAGGAGGAAAAGCCCAAGAAGGAACCCTTGTCATCCAGGGACAGACTCAAGGAAGCACGTGAGACACAAACAAGTCTGCTGTTGTCTAGGAAACGATCGCCTCGCGGTTGGGGGGATTTTTTTGCGTTCTCGTTGTCGGCGCATGTTATCGATTCGCCTAGTTGAGGTGGTGCACAGGGTGGCCATGGGGCACGCCCCCCCATACGCCACCTCACTCTGTTATTGTCATTCGCTCGGTTTGTGCTGCTGTAGGGATGCCGTGCTTATGCGGCACTGCTGTGCGTACGTGCCACGAAACATAGACATTGAGTAGGCCAACACCACAACAACCGTCATGTTTCGCATTCATCGCACGTTTACTCCCTCGTGCATCTGCTTGTTTCGTGCCGAACCGTCGCTCGTCCGTTTATCGATCAAATGGACCAATTACCATCCTGGGCAGTCGAGGCAACCAACGTGACCACCAGCAGCGCATCCGCTCCCCGTACAAGCTCCAGGTAGGCCAGACAACCGTCATACATGGAGGCAACCGAGTGTGGACCTTGCCAGATCGCCATTGCCGCAGTTGCAGTACAGGCGTTTGAGACACACATTGTCGCGCTTGAGAGAGCCCGTGACCTCGGCGAACCCCGCACGAATGAACCGACTCGACTCGACAGTTAAACATGTCAACGAGAAAGCAAGTGCGTGAGGGTGGGGTGTCTCCGTCTTCCCCAAGCAGTCGGTAACGGTGAAAGGGTGACTGTCCATTATTTAGTTGGCCGCCGCCCATCATAGGTAGACATACCAGCCAACCAGCCCGAACACATTAAGCGTGGATTTCAATACCCAGGAAGGAAGCAGGCACGTCGTCGTTAGACGCTGGAAACTGCATTGTAGTCGGATGGTCGTTTGAAACCGTTTCACAGCTCACGACCGAGCTCCTCGTTCCTATGTCCAAGGCGGAAAACCACACTAACTTTTCTCGTAGGCGATCGTTCGGCAACCGTACTGCTGTCCGTACAGGGTTTGATTCGTCGTTCCGTTGCCTGCTTGCCTTGGTTTGTGCTTTGTTTGTTCAATCCTCTGGCATGAGCAGCAAGAAGTCTGAACGCAGCAGCAGCGTGGTCACCAAGATCGGATGCACGGAGAGTTTCAAATGGGACAACAGCGAGGCAAGTATACCGCGTGTAGAGATACAAACAGCAGTGTTCGGGCACCGCGTGTAGCACCAAGTGTTACTCTTATAGCAAGTGCGAGAACCCGAAGCACTGGAGATCCGCTGTTTTGCTCGGTCGTCTTCTCCGAATCGGCCATAACCTGGACTGGAACTTTGTGATTCTGTTGCAGACGGCGACTCCTTAAGAAGAAGAACACAATCGTTGGCAGCCAGAGTGGACAGATTGAGGTGTTTTTTGTTATTCCATCGCCATTAGGGCATGTATAACTCCTAGGTAGACAGTAACATCCGAGAATCCCTTCGACGCGAGTTTGCTCGGGAGTTCCACGGGGGGAATTTGCAACTGTGAGGATGCGTCTGATTACCTGATTACCTTTTAGTCCGCTTATTAAGATGGATAGCGTTGGCAGCTTAATTTTCTTTCTCCGTATTTTTTTTTCGCGCTTGTGATACGTCTGCGTTTCGTCTCTCTCGTCAGGAAGCCCCGGTGCTGCCGCCGATGCCAGCGACGGTGTACGTAGGAGGCCAAGAGGGACTGAAGATGTTTGTGCTGGACCACATGATGGTGAAGCGGAGTGTGCCTATCCTGTACAACAACATCCTTCGGCACGGGTGGAATAAATACTTCTCCTGGAGGTGCGTGACGCTATTGCTGAAACCGTTCCGTTGAAACCAGAATATTAAAACTCATATTTGAGTTCCACTCACCCCCATCATTCGATGGCATTGTTGTCCACTTTGTTTCGTTTTGTTTCGACGCTGCTCTCGTCCAAATGCTGATTTGTCCCAAAGCATGATACGTGCCGGGTTGGCTCGGAAAGCGGTGGAGAGCTGAACTCTCCGACGATGTTTGTAGCCTGCGGCAACCGGGTCTTGTACAGACTGTTGTCAGCCAGAACAAAGCCTTAGATCGTTTCAATGCTAACGAGCCTCGTAGTGCCTCAGGAAGGTGCAAGTGGCGAGAGATTTCTCGCAAGGGTTCACGGAAGGGGTTTTGTTATTTGTGTGTGTGCCATCATACCGTCATCTCTTGTATCGTTCATTTTCTTCCTTCGTTTTTGCCCCGTGTTTTTTTTTTGAAGGTGCGACACAAATGCGTTGGCAAAGAGCGCGATGAAGAGCAAGACCCTCAAGGACGGCCTCTCGGCACCGCTGGTGATCGCGTTCATGGTTTCGGTCTGGATCCACGCGGAGGCACAAGCAAAGGGCAGCTCCAGGATGGACGCTGCGGAAAACGGGAAGCCGCTGCACATCGTGGTCATTGGCGCGACGGCTGTCAACGAGGAGGTACAAAACGTTTTTTGTTTGCGAAGGAAATCACTAGAAGCATGATAGAGTAGGTGTTTGGAGCTCGATCTGAAACTTACGTTCTGGGCGCCTCACAGAGCAACGGGGTGTTTCAGGCAGCTCTCAGCTCAAGACGATTTCGGCTCGCCCGTACGCGGAGCCCGATCGGCTCTCTCGATTCGCGACGCCGACAGGGAACGCTATCTCGGTCACGACTGCGGGCTGGAGACCCCAAGCGGGAGCCGAGTTACTACCCGGCATCTCGAGGAGCGCTGTAACCCTCCGGTCGCACCTGCGTCTATCGTATGTACTTTCACTTTGTACTCCCACTTTTAGCTACGCTGATGGAAGACGAGACACTGCTGTGTTCCGACTATGAAACCTACAGTCCAGTCTATCATATGTACTGTAGGCGATTTATTGCGTAGGGAGCTGTGTCGAAGAATCATCACCCTGCTGTGCTGCATGTCTTTCCACCCACACCCATTCTCACACCCCCGACGCACGCGGCGACTGATAGTCACGCCCTTGAGCCGTGGAATCACCACCGGCAAAATGCGGGCAGACGCCTGCTCTTTCTAAATTTTGAACAACACACACGACAACTTGCCGGCAAGAATGTACTTCTTGAACGCACGGAACACAACTACGCTACTGTACCTTCCACTTGGCATACTCCACACTTTTTTTATTCCCACCCTCTGTGAAGACGTGGACGGCTACAATACCTTCCAACAGAGGACGGGGGGTGCGAAGCCCCCATTGCGTAGACTTTGCACTAACAAGTGATGCAAGATGAGAAAATAAGCAGGGAGCAGCACCGACCGACAGCTGGCTACCAGTTGCTGTGTGAAGTTTCCGAAGCTCAACAGCTCACACAGCTGACGTGTTGTTGACTCGAAGAGCTCAGCGAACCTCAATAACCAAAAACAAACAAATCCAAATCTACAGTCTCATCACCGCCTGTTGCTGCTGCTGTTACTTCGCCGGTCGCCTCTCGGGGCTATGTAATGCTTAACCTCGTAAACCTACTGATGGCAGCAGTCTTTGACTTCCATCTCGCTCTCTCTCTGTGTAAAACTTGTGCACTTTGCGGTAGGAAACGATTTATTTCGTGAGTTACGCGTTTCGCCTCTCTCTCTCTCTCTCTCTCTCTCTCTCTCTCTGCTTTCAAGAAAATCCTGAGAGAGACCAACTACTGGGACGAGCTGTCCAATTTTTTCAGCGGGCGGAAGTTGCACCTGTACCTGACAGGCCTCGAGATGAGCGGCAAGGACGGCGTGTTCCAAAAGAAGCCCGGCCAGGAAGAAGGACAAGCTGACGTGAGGACGGGGAGGTTTGAGCAGGGTTCCGAGGATGGTTTGGTTCCAGTTATCTGAGCTTGCTTACCCAGCACAGCCCGCCCCACAGCACAGAACCACCTGGTATCATGTGACGCTACGTTGCGAAGTACGTCATGTAAGAACGTGAAGATATGTTGTGCAGTGTTCTTCTGTCCAGGAGGGCTGCGCGTTCGAACGACGCTGGTCACCAAGAATGTCCGGTTTCTCGATCTTGTCTGGAGTCGTGAAGCCCTGACTGATTGCTGCCCCCGATCAGTTAAACGGTGCTTGGTCATGATGCATACGGGCGGCATGGATTGCGTAGTAGAAGTTACTCAGAAGTGGAAAGGGGTGAGCGCCGAAGAAGCAGGCAACCGCCTGACGAAGCCGCCGGAACGAGTATGTGCAATGCTTGCTCTATTTTTTTCTGTCGACGTGCTGAACGGATGACCGAACTTTCTCACTGGCGCCCCCCCCCCCCCCCCCCCCCCCCCCCCCCCCCCCCCCCCCCCCCCCCCCCCCCCC